TCCAATTTCAATAGGGTTCGTCCTTAGGCCAAACAAAAGACCTTTGCAAAATTTCATCTGGATCGGGCAATAAATGCGACCTGTACTTTGTTTACAAAAATACATGGACAGACGGACGGACGGACGGACGGACATGCATAAATCGACTCAGAATGTGATTCTATGCAGATCATCAAAAGGAACTATGGGTCTATCTCGTTTCCTTCTGCCTGTTACAAACAAATGCACAAAGACATAATACCCTGACCACCTTGTGGTGTAGGGTATAAAAATGGGGGACAATATATCGATAAGGTTACAAAAAATTCGGGATTTTCTAAATTGGACATTTATTTTTAAAAGGGGAAGAGAACAGTTTTTTTTTTTCAAATATCGTTTCGAAATCGTCCGTAGAGGGAGTGAAAACCATTATCTGATTTTCTTAAGTTTAAGAAGCAAAAAACGTTAAGGTGTAGAAAACAGGTATAAATAAAAATACGTAATTCGAACAAGTTCCATTTAAAACTGGAAATGCCACTGAAGTCGGTAGGAGTCTTCAAAATATCACAAATTTGCTGCACAGGTGTTGCTATCTATTGCAAGTTTCAAATACGAAAAATGTGGTTAACATCATCAAAATACCCAAAATATTCGCAGGTTCTGTTGTTTAGGAAATATAGGAAAAGTGGACTTATAAAAACAATCACATTTCAGAATCAATTTCAAACACTCATTATGAAATTCAGAACAATTTCGTGGAAATTGTCGATCAAAATGCCGAAGTTCGAGAATACCGAATATCGAGATGCTATACGAAAACGTGGACCCATGTAGGCCGTTTTGTGTCTGAGAAGTTGATGCCCTTAACGAACTCCAAGTGCAGCCAATGACAAAAATTGCGTATACAGGTCAACGTCTTCGTAATCGGCATTTTGATGATTTTATCGACATTTTTACCGAAATTGTTTCAATTTTCGTATTTAAAGTTCGAAATGGGTACTACAGACTATGACTGTAAATTCTGTATGCAGGTCCTTGTCTTCGTATAGCTCCCATATAACGATACCTCCCGATATTCGGTATTTTGATAATATTAGCGACATTATTTACCGGAATTGTTTAAAGTTTGATGATATTAGCGACGTTATTCACCGGAATTGTTTCAAATTTCGTATTTGAAATTCAGAATTGGTACTACAGCCTATGAGAAAAAATTACTTGTGCAGGACCACGTCTTTCCAACGGAATTTTTTGGAAAATTTTTAAGTTCCTTTAAAATGGTGTAGGGTATTAAAAGTCGATTTTTTACTTGTTTTTTTTTTTTCAAAAGCGCATTTTAAATTTGTGAGAATTGTCAAAATCCGTTCAGTGGTTCTTGAGATAAAAACGGCCTAGGTAACATCCCCTTCTTTGATATATGCGATTGAATATATTTTTCTATATATGCGATATCTTGGATATCAGCATCAATGTAATGGTAAAAAGAGATCTTTTAATGCGTTTGTGATTTCGCTAAAAATATGTATTTGTTGATATTGTTCGTATTTTTGAATATAAAAGTTATGGTCAACCACAAAATAGTATTCGATGATCAGCCAAATTTGTCGGCTTCTGCACAACTGCAAAATCAAGAACATTTTCTGTTTTTGGTCCATTTTGCGATCATCACCCCGAACCATAGGCATCTATTCTAATATCAACTCCACCTCCATGCAAAATTCCGGGAGCATCGTGAGGATTTCTTTAAAACTGAAGAGACTTAATCGACATTGAGTTGTATGCTGATCAATAATATACTTCATGGAATTTAAAATGGATATTTCGAGGATTTAGAAATGGAAAGACCAACTTAATACCCTCCATACTACCGTGGAGGTTATAAACATTAAAAAGTGAAGGAATTTTCCCTATCTAGTTTATTTTTCTTTTTTTCTGGAATTTTAGAATATTGTAGCACAGTGTAATTCTAAAATTTGTCTATTGTACTGGTGATATAAGTATTTGAACTCGATCTAAGTTTGATGGAAATATTACAATGTGTAAATGTTGAGAGTTATAGAGGATACCTGCCAAGACAATGCTTCTTCATCCATTTCTTTTAACACGAATTTTCCAAGAATGGAGAAACTGTATCAAATAACTTAAAAATAAGAAAGAGAAAAAAGTCCAATTAAAATCCCCGATGATGACCATAGCAGATAGCCAAAACATGGGAAAAATAAACGAAAATTTAAAAAAACAAATTCGTCTGTTTTTTAAACTCTGACCTCAAGTTAAACAAAAAAAGAAAATACATTGGTCAAATATAACTATCCAAAAAAAAAAAAAATATTTTTTTTGACAATTATTTTTGACCTTAGGACTTTTAATATTCCCAATATTTTCACATTAACTCAAGCCAAAATAAATAAAAAGAAGATTTCTTTGGAAAAAATTCTGGTACATTATATATGCAAGTAAGCGCTTTAAGGGAGTGAAAAATATATTTTCAACCAGTAAGGAAAGCTCAAAAGTCGGGCGGGGCCGACTATATGATACCCTACACCACTATGCATATTTAGTAAGGCTCTCGTAAAAAGGTTTATACAGGGCATTTCAGAGCTCTATGAGATATTTGGTACAAAATCAAAATCTATCTAATTCTATCGTGCATTTTACGAACTATAGCTATCTCTGAACCGGGTTTCTCCAAATTTTACGTATTAGTTTCTAGACTGGTGATTTGGGCTGATATTGACCATTTAGTGCACATTTAACCCGAAATCGGATGAAGATATATATGAGAGCTGTATCCAAATCTGAACCGATTTCGATAAAATTTAAAACAGCTATTCCTGTGCTCCATCTAATACCTGGTACCAAATATCACGGTTGTGGAGTGAATATTACGAATGTATGGGACTAAAACTCTAAATAGGATGAAACATATATCGGCCATTTGGTGCACAATTAACCCGAAATCGTATGAAGATATATATGGGAGCTATATCCAAATCTGAACCGATTTCGATAAAATTACAAACAGCTATTTCTGGGTTGTATCTTATATCTGGTACCAAATATCATTCTTGTGGAGTGCATATTACGATTGTGAGAGGCTTAAACACCAAATCGGATGAAAGATATATATGGGAGCTATAGCTATATCTGAACCGATTTTCTCCAAATTTGATATACTTGCTTCTAGGCCGATCTCGGTTGGGTGTGCCAAAATTCAGGTAATTTGGACTGATAGTGGACATTTGGTGCACATTTATCCTGAAATCGGAAGAAGATATATATGGGAGCTATAGCTGTTTCTGAACCGATTTTCTCCAAATTTATTGTATTTGCTTTAAGGCTAATCTCGGTCACATGTGCCAAAATTCGGGCCATTTGGGCTGATATTGGCCATTTGGTGGTCAATTAACCCGAAATCGGATGAAGATATATATGGGAGCTATATCCAAATCTGAACCGATTTCGATAAAATTTAAAACAGCTATTTCTGTGCTCCATCTAATACCTGGTACCAAATATCACGGTTGTGGAGTGCATAGTAGGAATGTGAGGGACTTAAAGATTAAATCGGATGAAAGATATATATGGGAGCTATAGCTATATCTGAACCGATTTCCTCCAAATTTGATATACTTACTTCTAGGCCGAACTCGGTTGGGTGTGCCAAAATTCAGGTCATTTGGACTGATAGTGGATATTTGGTGCACATTTAACCCGAAATCGGATGAAGATATATATGGGAGCTATATCTAAATTTGATCCGATTCTCACCAATTTCAATAGGGTTCGTCCTTGGGCCAAAAAAGTATTGTTTGGAAAATTTCATCTCAATCGGATAATAAATGCGACCTGCATTTTGTTCACAAGAATACATGGACAGACGGACGGACGGACGGACAGACGGACTGACATGCATAAATCGACTCAGAAAGTGATTCTATGAAGGTTCTCAAAAGTAACTATGGGTCTATCTCGTTTCCTTCTCCATGTTACAAACAAATGCACAAAGACATAATACCCTTACCACTATGTGGTGTAGGGTATAAAAACACCTGATGTTATTTAAAAATGAATCAAAATTAATTAAAAAATTCTGAAAATTTCACTCCAACATATGGTCAAATTTGTACATACGCTATATAAGCACGTATCTATTAATGTTCTATTAAACAAAACTAAAATATATTTTATAATTTTATTTGTTGTGAAATGTGTATTTAATATTATCCATGCGCAACATTTCAATAATTTTCTACGCCCAACAAAAAACAACAATAACAACAACATTAAAATCCATAGGTAAAGGGACCGCAACCGACATTTGATCTGTTTTAATCGGGTGGAATGTTTTTTGTTAGCAATTTTGTATAATTTGTTCTACTAGCATTTGATTGACGGAACGGGTAACGTTAACAACAATGCGATTTTATTTTATAAACGTTTCTATTAAAACGGGGCTTTGTAGCAACACAAAATATAAATATGTGTTTAAAAAGCTTTGAAAATGCTCCGATAAAGATACAAACAACAAAACAATATTTATATTCAGACATGCAAATACAGGCGTACAAATAAAACACATTTTTCTTCGGTATTAATAAATATATCAGCCGAAATATTTGGTATTTGTGTCATTAAAGTGGAATTAAAAAATAATAAAAATTAAAAAATAGAATTTTAAAAAATTAAGGAAAAATAGATTCCTGAATTATAATTTCAGTTTATTTTAACGACAAAACACAAAAAATAAATTAAATTTGTCTTTTTTTGCAACATTTCGGGAGATGAACTCGCCCCACCATGCCCCCCTTCTAAAATGTGAATTGTGAATTATTTGTATGTCTAAATAATATTTTCGTTCTCTGTAGGCGATATTAATAATTTTCTCACCTTATTTTATTTCCAGCAATCATCACAAAGCTTATAAGGACATCACATTCCAGGGAACAAATTTTTTGGCTAAAATATGTAAACATCAACAGCCGGAGAAAATCCCAAACTACCAAAAATTCTTCACCTCTTTTAAAGAGCCGCTACCAAAATTTGGTTAGAACTGGTTGATAAGAGACAATACGCAACAGTCTAACCATGAAATTCCTTAAGGCCACCATCAGTTTAAGTCAAATTCAGGCCATTCTTCGCAAGGATTTTCTTGTGAGATGGCGTTTAAAGGTAAGGATCGTTAAAATAAATAATTTATTCGATTTATAATAAATATTTTCCTCTGCGTTTTACAGTGGCTAATATGTTTACAAGTAATATGGCCCATGATCATATTCTTGTTGCCCTATTTGATCCGTCTGAAATTTACCCCCGTCCACAATGATGCCTGCCAATTTCCGACACGACAATTGCCCACAGCTCGCAACACACTGCCAGGTATGCTGTCGTACATTTGTACGATTGAGAACAATTGCAAAAGTACGGATGTCTATGACGAATATGAATATTTGGATAAAGCACCGTAAGTAATGGCATTTAGAATTTATGAATTACTTAAACTAAAGGTGAGAGTATATAAACAGCTTGAAGTTTTCGCATGGCACATTTTGTGACATCTCGTAAAGAGATGCCAGAGCCGCACACAAACTCTGCCATCGTTTTCCTTTATAATTTGACATTAATACGCCTAGCCATGATGCCAAGCTGCTTCTGTACCCTCCCCTTAAGAACTCATAGAAAACAAGTTAAAAAGTATCAGTCGGTTTATGCTGTTGTCCGTTTATTTAAACATATTGTGACATATGCATTAATTATTCAACATGTTGAGCCTTTATGGGGGAGATTCCGAAAGAGCTAATATTGTCCAACTCCTCCTTAGTATAAATATTTTAAAGTGGCATATTTGGACTATATCGACTATTTACTTCACTTGATATGCTATAATTTTAAGTGATAATTTTAAGAGAATGTTGAAATGTGTGTGAAGTGTCAGATATAGTGGATCGAAGTATTCCACTTCATCCAATACTAATAACAATATTGGGACCTGCAAAATGTAAAGAAAATCGAACACTTATTTTCAATTTTATGCGAAAAATTGTAAATCAAAAGGATAATTTTTTGTGACGAAGGAAGTATCAAAGGGAGTGGACAGAAAAATGTATTCACCTCAGATCTCTATCTAATATTAAGATATTCCAGATTTGAATCGAGTCGCTGACTTGCTTCGCAAGTTTTGAGAGATTTAAGTGATTAAAATGGGGATATTTAAGTATTTGTGTGGGAGGTACCACAAGAGGTAGGCCAATAGCTATCACCTTCGCACCATATCTTGCGATATTGAGATGTGTGAAGTTTGAAAAGGAATCGAACACTTATTTTGCATTTTTAAGGCATTTTGTTAATAAAATAAAATAAATAAATTATTCCTCTGTGGAATAATTACTATATACAAATAGTAGGATTTGCAAAGTTGGAGCAAAATCGGTCCTTTCCCTTTCTATGCAGGATTTTTTTTTGAATATTTTGGCATTTTGTGGGGGGAGTACAAAAAGGAGTGGTCCGATATTTACCATCTCCAAAATCAATCTAAGTTTGATAATGATTTTATGATGTACCACGTTTGGACCAAATCGGATACTCCCTTCGACATTATTCATTATACATTATTCAACGGAATTGTTTCAAATTTGGTATTTGAAGTTCGTAATGGATACTACAGTCTAGGACAGAAAATTGTCTGTGCAGGTCCACGTCTTCGTATAGCCCCCATATAACGGTTCCTCCTGATATTCGGTATTTTGATGATTTTAGCTACTTTATTCACCGACTTTTTTTTTTAAGTTTCGCATTTGAATATTGTAATGGCTTATGACAAAAGTAGCCTATGCAGATCCACGTCGTCGTATAGACCCTAATGTAACAGCTACATTCGGTATTTTTAAGATTTTAACAGAATTTATAGTTTTTAAGAATTGCCAAATTTGTTCCAAATGGTGGAGGGTATTCAAAGTTCGGCCCGGCCGAACTTACAGCTTTATTATTTGTTTTTTTTTTTTTTTTTTTTAATTTGTGATTGTAATTTTGCAAATTTATCTTAACTTTTAGTAAACATTGCCTGTCTGCAACTCAAAAGCAATCGGTTTCGAGTAAACATTTGTACAAAATCCCATTTTTATGAAAAATTTATGATTGCTTTTTAATAGAAATCGATTGAAGCTTCCGTTCGCCCATAAGAATTCATTTATTAATATCTAAACTTTTGCCTTGTTTCAAATAAAACTTAATACTATTTTTTTTATTATATTTTCAGTTTAAAGCCTATCATTGATGTAGTCCAAATTGTTATCAACGATGACGGAATGTTCAATGCATTGATCGAGTTACCGGATAAGGCGAATTTTATCAATGCTGTTACAGCGATTGTCACAAATGCGCATTTTAGTGAGATACGAAGTAAAAACTGCTACTGTTTAATTATGTATAATATTTCAAAAAATAATTGTGTAATTTCTAAAATTTTTAGCAAACATTGAGAAAGTCATTAGCATGGTTCCAGATGTGGAGAAAGCACTCAATGGCAGTTTTGATATAAAAAAATTATTTTCAAGTAAGTTTTGATTTGCAAATAAGTTCAACAAAAAATCTTATTGAATTTTAATATAATCTAAATTTTTTATATCTTTTAGGTCGTGAAACATTTGTCAAGGCTGGCAATTTACTTTGCGGTCACCCGTTCCCCAGTATTGATACAATACCATTGGTTTCGGATATCTTAGAATCGGAAGATTTCAGCAAATCCAATGATGATGAATTGAATGCAATGCCAAGTAAGAAAATATATATTTTTAAATTTGATAATTCTGTGCAAAAAAAAAAAAAAAAAAAAAATACAGAAAAAAACTCAGTAGATTATGAAAGAAGAGCTCAAAATAGAAACCACGCGTATCGGCGTCTTGAAAAATTATTATACCCTACACCACATTGTGGTAAGGGTATTATGTTTTTGTGCATATGTTTGTAACAGGCAGAAGGAAACAAGATAGACCCATAGTTACTTCTGAGGATATTCAAAAAATCACTTTCTGAGTCGATTTATGCATGTCAGTCCGTTCGCTCGTCCATGTATTTTTGTGAACAAACTGCAGGTCGCATTTGTTATCTGAAATATTTTGAGATGAAATTTTGCAAATAATATTTGTTGGCCCAAGGACGAACCTTATTGAAATTGGTGATCATCGGATCAGGTTTAAATATAGCTCTCATATACCTTCACCCGATTTCGGGTTAATTGTGCACCAAGTGTCCAATTTAAGTCCTAATGACCTGAATTTTGGTACATATGACCAAATTCAGTCTAGAAGCAAGTACATCAAATTTGGTGAAAATCGGTTGAGATATAGCTATAGCTCCCATATATATCTTTCATCCGATTTGGGGTTTTAAGTCACAACAATGATATTTGGTACCAAATGTCAGATACATCCCAGAAATACCTCTGCCAAATACCTATCAAGATCGGTTGAGATTTGGATATAGCTCTCTTATATATCTTCAACCGATTTCGGGTTAATTGTGCGCCAAATAGCCAATATCAGTCCTAATGACCTGAATTTTGGTGCATCCGACCGAATTCAGTCCAGAAGCAAGTACATCAAAATCGGTTCAGATATACCTATAGCTCCCAGATATCTTACAGAGCTCAGCATTACCTTTGCCAAATTTTATCGAGATCGGCTAAGATTTGAATATAGCTCCCACATATATCCTTAATCCGTTTTCAGATTTATTTTACAATTAATGGCTAATATCAGCCCAAATGGAGTGAATTTCGGCATGTATGTTTCCATTTTCGGTTCCGATATATATTTTTTTAATATAATCCTTCTCGAAGTGATATCATTCACTCTATAGCAGTTTGAAGTAGATTATTTGAAGTAGATGTAGAAGTAGAAGTAGATTATTTGAAGTGGTATGATCTACTTCAAATAAATTCTTTTGTTACGGGAGCTCTACTAAATATGCATGGTGGTGTAGGGTATCATATAGTCGGCCCCGACTGACTTTCGACTTTTCTGGTTAATGATGTCTGGTTTTGATGTCTTCCGAGACCTATAGTAGAATTTTATGACAAATTATTTTGTAGAACGTTTTGACTTTCTACGATCCAGTTTTAATGGATTTTTAACCATATTTTAAAAAGAAGCTCCAAAAAACACCCCTTTCTTGGCTCGCTTAAGGTTTACAATTTTCCATAAAAATTATCGCCGGAAAATTCCAAAATTTTGCAATGCAAACTTTTATAACTACAATACAGGTATCTGCAGGTACTCAGTGTTATATTCCACTTGAATTTTTATTTTCTGATTTTTTAAATTTGTACCATGCCACTAATTATTTTTCTCCAACCTAACAGCACCTTATTGTAAAAAACTCTATTTGGATGTGACCAGCTCAAATTACGGCAAAATTACCTGGGATGTGGTAAAGCCAATTATTCAGGGCAAAATTCTCTTTGCCCCAAATACTGAGGATACCAATTCAATTATGGCCATGGTAAGTTGAGTCAAGTTACATTACATTTCGGAACTAAAATGTGTATTTCTATTTCCATTTCCAGTCCAATTCCACATTTGAAGAATTCAATCGTTTGAAAATGTTGTCCGTCTCCTTTCAACAAATACTCACGAAACTGAAACAGCCGGGTAGCTTTCAAGAAGCCTTTGATTCCCTTTTGGCCTTGGCCAAATCTCCCTTCGTTCGCAAGTTGATTGGTGATGAATTCGATTTGGATGAAGTTGAAAATGTTGTCAATCGCATACGTACCGATCCCGTTGTCTATGATGTAATAAATACAGTTAAAAATCTCTTGGAATGTCTCTCGGTGGATCGTTTTGTTGCCTTCGATACGGAAGATGAGCTGAGACGTCATGCTTTCGATTTGAATCAACGCAGATTATTCTATGCCGCAATTTATTTCAACCAAACGGAGACGGAAAATGTTTCCTATAAACTGCACATGGATACCCAGAACACCCAACCAACAATTGAGAATAGGAATCGTTTTTGGTTCCCGGGACCTGCAGGTTCTATGCTGCTGGACTTGAAATACCATCGAGGTTTTGTGCAGATTAAACACTCCATTGATATGGCCATAATAAAGCATAAAAAGGAAAAGCTACAGCAGCTGGGAATTTTGGCCAAACCCACGCCACCTCCGCCAAGTGGACCGCTTTTCAATGTGGAAATTGAAACCGGGGATGAAGAGGAAGACGAGGACGAAGATGATGAGGAGGAGGAAGATGAATGGTTTACAAATTCAAACAACACCCAAAATGCCAATTCGACAGCTGCTCCCAATAAGGAAATGATATCTTCGATTGTTTCAGGCATTCCAATGGATGCAACCACCATTTCACCCAACACCGAGGACACAATGGGCGAAACAACCACAGAATCCATGGATTCCGAAGCCACAACAATCCTCCCCAACTTCTCAAATGATTTGTCACAAAACCTAGGCGAGGGAGATATTTTGAAACGTGAAAAAACGCCAAGGATTGGCAGATTTGTTCTCAAGTTTTGGTTCCCAAAATCAGGATCTTAATAATTTTGAAATTGATAATTTGAAATATTTCACCAAACAATTTCCCTATCCGGAATACACCAGAGATGAGTAAGTTTATCAGAATCCTGAAAATTGTTATTCAAAGTCTGATTTCAGTTTTTAATTTTTAGTTTCAAAACTGGTCTCTATCTGGCCCAAGCTATTCAGTTGGCCTTCTTCATTGGTTTAGTGGCGGAAATTGCAGCCAGTGTTCGTCACTTAATTTGGATGAGAGAATCTAAGAATTCAATGGTAAATACTTAAACAATTTCAACATGATTTCCATTTTCTTTGTAGACATAATTTTTTATTTTGGAGAGATGATTTTCTATAGAAAATATTGTCTCCACGCCCTTGGAGACATGATTTTCTATGGAGAATTTTGCTCCACGCCCTTGGAGACATGATTTTCTATAGAAAATTTTGTCTCAATACCCTTGGAGACATGATTTTCGATAGAAAATTTTGTCTCCACACCCTTGGAGACATGATTTTCGATAGAAAATTTTGTCTCCACACCCTTGGAGACATGTTTTTTCTATGGAGAATTTTATCTCCACACCCTTGGAGAACTGATTTTCTATGGAGAATTTTGTCTCCATATCTTTGGAGGCATTTGTTTGTGCAGCAACTTCTGTTCTCCATCCTTTGGAAAATCCATTTTCCCGCTATATTTAAATTAAAACATTGGGTTCCTTGCAGATTATGCGCGCCATGGGCCTTAAGTCTTGTTCCGAACTGACCTCTTGGTGTATTGTGACATTTTTGGAAATGCTTTTCATTTTCATACTGGTCTCAATAATTCTCTACAGTGGCGGAATGGTGGTCTACACAAGGTGGCTTTTTGTCATGATCTATGTTTGTTTGTTCGGAGCTAGTTTGATATCTTTTTGGTAAGGCAATGGAATGGATGGAAATATTTGATATTATAATTTCAATATTTTTTTATTTTAGTTACATGTGTTCGACATTTTTCAATAGTGCCACCATTGGTGCTGTGGCCACCACAGTCCTCTTTTTCATTAGTTTCTGCCCGTACATAATTGTCTTGTTATTTGATGCCCAATTGAATTCTTTGCAAAATTTCCTCATCAATCTCTCATTTACCACGGCATTCTCTCACGGCTGGAGTCATATAATGCGCATGGAGCTGCAGGAGGTGGGTTTAAGTTTCGAAGCCGTTTTCCGCGAAGGATTAAGGGGAGAATATGGTTTTTCGTTTTTCATGTTGATATTGGATTTGATCCTATATGCAGTTATCGGATATATACACCAGAGATTTAAGGATGGTAAGGGATAGGCAACGCATATACATACACATATACACTCATAATATGTTCTTTATTTCAGACGACAACCGTTTCGTGGAGGTCCAAAGAGAAGAACTCGATTCCACTGTGGGCGCAACGCTGACCAATGTTACCAAAGTCTATGGTGAGAATAAACATGCCGTTAGCGATATCTCGATTTCATTCTTCAGGGATAAGGTAACATGTCTCCTGGGCAGAAATGGTGCCGGCAAGAGCACAATTATGTGAGTACTGCTATTGGGAAAAAATGGAATCTTAAAAGTTATTGCTCTCTCTCTCTCCCTCTTTGTAGAAAAATGCTAACGGGCCAAGTCGTACAGACTACAGGAAGAGTTATACTGTCCCAGGCTATGTCTCGCGGCAAAGAATATGACAAAGTTGGTGTTTGTGCCCAGGACAATATTCTGATACCCAATTTAACTGCCCGTGAACATTTGGAGCTGTATGCCAAAATCAAGTTGAAGCGGAACTATCAATCTGAAGTAGAGAAGACGTTGAAAGATTTGAACTTTGGCAAACACGAAAACTATCAAGCAAGTCAGTTATCGGGTGGTTACAAGAGACGCTTGTGTGTGGCCATTTCGTTTATTGGTAAGAAGATGGAGAAATCATCTTTCTGTAAGAGTATATTCATTGAGAGAAATTTTCTATACGAAAATTTGAGAGAGATTTTCATATTTCTCTAGAAAATTTCTCTCCATTGAGAGAGATTTTCGTATAGAAAATTTCTCTCCATCGAGAGAGATTTTTGTATAGAAAATTTCTCTCCATTGAGAGAGATTTTCGTATAGAAAATTTCTCTCCATCGAGAGAGATTTTCGTATAGAAAATTTCTCTCCATCGAGAGAGATTTTCGTATAGAAAATTTCTCTCCATCGAGAGAGATTTTCGTATAGAAAATTTCTCTCCATCGAGAGAGATTTTCGTATAGAAAATTTCTCTCCATCGAGAGAGATTTTCGTATAGAAAATTTCTCTCCATCGAGAGAGATTTTCGTATAGAAAATTTCTCTCCATCGAGAGAGATTTTCGTATAGAAAATTTCTCTCCATCGAGAGAGATTTTCGTATAGAAAATTTCTCTCCATCGAGAGAGATTTTCGTATAGAAAATTTCTCTACATCGAGAGAGATTTTCGTATAGAAAATTTCTCTCCATCGAAAGAGATTTTCGTATAGAAAATTTCTCTCCATCGAAAGAGATTTTCGTATAGAAAATTTCTCTCCATCGAGAGAGATTTTCGTATAGAAAGTTTCTCTCCATCGAGAGAGATTATCGTATAGAAAATTTCTCTCCATCGAGAGAGATTTTCGTATAGAAAGTTTCTCTCCATCGAGAGAGATTATCGTATAGAAAATTTCTCTCCATCGAGAGAGATTTTCGTATAGAAAATTTCTCTCCATCGAGAGAGATTTTCGTATAGAAAATTTCTCTCCATCGAGAGAGATTTTCGTATAGAAAATTTCTCTCCATCGAGAGAGATTTTCGTATAGAAAATTTCTCTCCATCGAGAGAGATTTTCGTATAGAAAATTTCTCTCCATCGAGAGAGATTTTCGTATAGAAAATTTCTCTCCATCGAGAGAGATTTTCGTATAGAAAATTTCTCTCCATCGAGAGAGATTTTCGTATAGAAAATTTCTCTCCATCGAGAGAGATTTTCGTATAGAAAATTTCTCTCCATCGAGAGAGATTTTCGTATAGAAAATTTCTCTCCATCGACAGAGATTTTCGTATAGAAAATTTCTCTCCATCGACAGAGATTTTCGTATAGAAAATTTCTCTCCATCGACAGAGATTTTCGTATAGAAAATATCTCTCTATCGACAGAGATTTTCGTATAGAAAATTTCTCTCCATCGACAGAGATTTTCGTATAGAAAATTTCTCTCCATCGAGAGAGAATTTCGTATAGAAAATTTCCCTCCATCGAGAGAGATTTTCGTACAGAAAATTTCTCTCCATCAAGAGAGATTTTCGTATAGAAAATTTCTCTCCATTAAGTGAGATTTTCGTATAGACAATTTCTCTCCATTTAGTGAGATTTTCGTATAGACAATTTCTCTCCATTTAGTGAGATTTTCGTATAGAAAATTTCTCTCCATTTAGTGAGATTTTCGTATAGAAAATTTCTCTCCGTTTAGTGAGATTTTCGTATAGAAAATTTCTCTCCATTTAGTGAGATTTTCGTATAGAAAATCTCTCTACATTGAGAGAGATTTTCGTATAGAAAATTTCTCTCCATTGAGAGAGGTTTTCGCATAGAAAATTTTGCCAACGGAGACAATTTTTCTTACTTCCAAGAAGCTCCTTTATCCTTCTAATTCTTATATTCTTTCTTTTAGGATCACCCAACGTTGTCATTTTGGATGAGCCCTGCAATGGTGTTGACAACAAAGCACGCAAGGATATCTGGGATCTGATTGAACGCCTGCGAAAAGGAAGAGCTGTGATTTTTGCAACACATTTTCTGGATGAAGCGGAATATCTTAGCGATATAATTGTGATAATGAAAAATGTAAGTATTTTGACCACCACTATCCAAACGGCAAATAGCAGGACTCACTTCCTTCCTCTTCATTTCCAGGGTAAAATTATTGCCAAACACAATCCGGAGACGCTGAAAAATCACTGCACCTCATTCTATGAGGTTAGCATGAATAGCTGTGACAGTCAAACTTCCGATATGGTGGTCGACAAGGCCAACAAATTGTTGGCCAACTTTAGGCAATTGGATAAGTCATCAGAGGCGGATTTGAGTTTGCGGGTTTCCTACGACCAAGTAAATCACAATTCTTCGGAATACTTATCGTATCTCGAGCAATTGCAGGGCGATGGTCGCATCAATGATTTGTGCATTGAATCGGAAAATTTGGAACATGTCTTCAAAAATCTTGATAAGAAACATAGCAATGGAGTGGTGTCGTCAGGACATTATAACAACAATGGCCACCCATCTGGGGATTTGATGAAAAATATAAAACTGAAGCGGGAACTGGGTTGGAATATGGTGAGCAATGACCCCTTGTCAAGGTGGGCTGCCATACGCCAGCTATTCTGGAAACGTTTGGTTCACTTTAGTCGCAACTATCGTATGTTGGTGTGTGTTATTGTATTGCCGGCTATCTTTGAGATACTTGCCATGTGGTTTGTCTCCCAACGTTTGGAGGATGATTTCGATAAGACCATAAAATTGTCTCGAGAATTGTATCCCAGGACTACTCAATTTATGAGCATGGAGATACCCCTGAATTTTACAAGGGATGTTTATGGTCGTTTAAAGGAAAATTGTCCAGCAGGGGCGGAGTTGACTTGTAAAGAATTTGCCAATAGTCAAAAATCCTTCTATTGGGTCCTCAAGACTCTTAATGAATATCAGGAGAAACGTTATGGCGGCTATACCTTCAATGAGTCCAAGTCGATGGTGTGGTACAACAATAAAGGTTATCACTCCATGCTGGCATGGTTGAATGACATGAACTCGCACATGTTGCAGGTTGAGACAAATAACACGAATTACAAGATTTCGGCGTATAATGAGCCATGGGAATTAGGTTTCCAGGAGTTTAGTACGACATCCATGTGAGTAATGAGATTTTTCAAAATTTGTTTCTTTGTAATATAACTCCCTGTCTCCCTCTACCTCTCTTTTTAGTTTACGTCAAGCCGGTGACTCATGTTTGGCATTTATTCTTCTCATTGCCTTTTCCATGATTGTGGCAGTGGCCTCCGTATATCTAGTCAATGAACGTGTCAAAGGTGAAAAGTTACAGCAGAGATTGTGTGGCGTTGATGCGGTTACCTATTGGGCGGTGGCCTTTATATGGGATTTCATGGTAAGGCTTCTTAAGGGATTTCATTATTTGGAATGAAGTTTTTGAATTTTTTAAATTTCAGATCCTAATATTGGGTATTCTGGTTTGCTGTTCTGTCATCCTGGCCTTTGACATGCCTGTCTTTACGGACCGCCAACAGCTGTGGGGCATCATTGTACTGGGATTATTCTTTGGGTGAGTTTAGATTGTTGGAAGTGGGCTATCAGAGTTTTAATCGTGGAATTTTTAAAAAATATTTTTTGAGAGAACATTAGAGCCATAAGCGTGGATTTTTAAAGAATGTTTTTTTTGAGGGACCATAAGAGCCATAAACGTGGATTTTTCAAAGAATATTTTTTGAAGGACCATTAGAGCTATAAGCGTGGATTTTTTAAAGAATATTTTTTGAGGGACCACAAGAGCCATAAGCGGGGATTTTTTAAAGAAAAATTTTTGAGGGACCATTAGAGCCATAAGCGTGGAATTTTTAAGGAATATTTTTTGAGGCGCCATAAGAGCCAAAAGCGTGGATTTTTTAAAGAATATTTATTGAGGGACCATTAGAGCCATAAGCGTGGAATTTTTTAAGGAATATTTATTGAGGCGCCATAAGAGGCAAAAACGTGTATTTTTTAAAAAATATTTTTTTGCTATAGCGTGGATTTTTAAAGAATATTTTTTTGCTATAGCGTGTATTTTTAAAGAATATTTTTTGAGGGACCATTAGAGCCATAAGCGTGGAATTTTTAAGGAATATTTTTTAGGCGCCATAAGAGGCAAAAACGTGGATTTTTTTAAAGATATTTTTTTGCTATAGCGTGGATTTTTAAAGAATATTTTTTTGCTATAGCGTGGATTTTTAAAGAATATATTTTTGCTATAGCGTGGATTTTTAAATAATATTTTTTTGCTATAGCGCGGATTTTTAAAGAATATTTTTTTGCTATAGCGTGGATTTTTAAATAATATTTTTTTGCTATAGCGCGGATTTTTAAAGAATATTTTTTTGAGGCGCCATAAGAGCCAAAAACGTGGATTTTTTAAAGAATATCTTTTGAGGGACCATTAGAGCCATAAGCGTGGAACTTTTAAAGAATATTTTTTGAGGTACCATAAAAGCCATAGGCTAAGATTTTTTAAAAAATATTTTTGAAAACTTTGAATTTGGTCCCCCATTGTAATGGATATTTTAATATCGTTCAATAACACATCAATAATAACTTATAATTAAATTACACGAAAAGTGGAAGCTTCAATGGAATTTTTAAACTAATTAATTTATATTTTTCATTTCAGCTTCGCCTGCATCCCGGGGGTACATGTCTTCGAGAAATGCTTCAACGATGCGAGTGTCTCAATTGTGGGAATCTTCATTATCAATGTTATTATACCATTATTCACCCTATCCACGGTGGTACTGTTGGGCGTTGTTGGCGATTCCCCCATATGGGATGAATGGCGTCATTTCCTTAATCATCGGCTCTTTATTATCTTCCCTCAACATGCGTTGGCTGATGGCCTGCTGGAATTGTGTAAAAATTATATGGTAGCTCTAACTTTCCGACGTTTCGACATTGATTCCTATAAGAATCCGGTGAATAGTGATTTGCTGCAAGCCCACTTTACCTCATTATTTATTGTGGGTGTGTTCTTTTTGGTTCTGAATGTGTTGCTGGAAAGTGGCCTCCTAGGTGATTGGAAGGAGATGCTAATGGATCATTTGGAATTTTTGGGTCTGCAAAAGGCGAAACAGTTCGATGAACTCAAAGTTATTTCCATACAAAATTCCCTAAAACGTAACGATAAGAACGCCGTTAGTGCTCTCAAGGTGGACAATTTAAGTAAGAAGTATGGTGGACGTGGCCACTATGCTGTGTCGAATGTCACCTTTGCCGTTAGCCATGGCGAATGTTTTGGTTTGTTGGGTAAAAATGGTGCTGGCAAGTCGACAATTTTCAAAATGCTCTCCGGACAGTTGAGACCAACTTCGGGACGTATTGTCTATGAGAATGCAAGTGGAAACTTATTTTATTTATTTATTATTTATTTGTCATAAAAATAATCGAAAATAATTAAATTTCATTCCCTTTTAGCCGGAAATATCATATTGTCCTCAAACAAATACCCTGGATGATTTGTTAACCGTACGAGAATGCATTGAATTTTATGGTCATCTGAGGAGCATTACTGATTTGCCGAAGGTAAGTTTTATTTGAGCACATATTTGGGAATATACGATACATAATTAAATAATAAAAGATTTTTTAAATGTTCATTAAGTGAACTTGATAAAATTACCGTATGGTCCCTACAAAAACATTTTCTAAAGAAGATTCTTAATTGAAAAATCATTGAAACTTATAAGAGTTGTAGTCCTTGAAAAAATTCTTAAATATTTTAGGACATTGATATTCTTTGAAACTTTTTTTTTTCTTAAAAACTTTTTTTTAAAAACTACGATTCTTATCGTTCTTGTATTTTTTTCTCATCGGGCTTTGTATACCAACTAACATTGCTATAGAGTAATATAATCACTTCGAAAATGATTATATTAAAAAAATATATATCGGAGCCGAGTTCCGCCAAATGGAAACGTACGTTCGGAAATTCATTCCATTTGGTTTGATAATAGCCATTATTTGCCCAATAAACCTGAAATCGATTTAAGGATATATATTGGAGCTATGTCCATATCTTAGCCGATCTCGATAAAATTTGACAAATGTATTTCCGAGTTCTATAAGATGTCTGGTACCAAATATCATTGTTGTCGAATACATATTACGAATGTGAGGGATTTACAGGGTGAAATGAAAAAAATGCAACCAACTTCAGACTGCTGTTATTTATAAGTCACTCGTCCGAGTGTTTAAAAGCGTACCAAACCATTTTGGTAGGAATTTTTCAGAAAAAAAGTTATTGGTGATGGAATTCAAGCGTGATAGTGTGATTTCTTTATACTTGGCTGGAAAGCCACAAGTGGCTATCGTTAGAGCACTCCAGCATTTAAATGTGAATAAATCTTTTGTGTCTCGTACCATCGCTCGTAACCGTGATACTGGTAGCGTAGCCCGACGTCAAGGAAGTGGACAGAAGAGAACAGCAACATCAAAAGAAATGGTTCGAAAAGTAAAGAATTGACTTGATCGAAACTCGCGTCGCAGTGACCGAAAAATGGCTCACGAGCTGAACATATCGCAATATTCCATTCGGCAAATATTTAAAAATGATCTCGGGGTAAAGCCATTGAAATTCCAAAAAGTGCAAGAACTTACACCGGAACAGAAAAAAATAAAGCTAAAGAAAGTAGAGCTAAAGAATTGCTTCGCTTGGCCGAAAGTGGTGAACTGTCGAATTTGGTTTTTTCCGATGAAGTCGAAAGTGGTGAACTGCCGAATTTGGTTTTCTTCGATGAAAAAACATTCGTTGTCCAGCAGTTTGTAAACAAACGAAATGATCGTGTTTAATCGGCAAAGAGGTCAGCTGAAAATGTGTTCCTTCGGTTGGCCACCATAACTCAAGCGCAGGCCATGGTGATGGTGTGGGCCACCTTAACAGCCGATGGTCGCTCTCCGTTCGTATTAATCGACCGTGGCATCAGAATAATGCCTCAGCACCATCGCACTCGGCACGCGAACCCAAGAATGGTTACAAAATAAGGTTCCTCGCTTCATTCCCAGCGCACAATGGCCACCAAAATCTCCGGATACCAATCCGTTGGACTATTGTGTCTGGAGTATTTTGGAAAGCAAGCTTGGCACTAAAAAATACCAAAAAGTCGATCACCTCAAGCAAGCGCTTCGCCGGAAATGGGCCAAAATACCGCAGAGCAACATTCGCGCCTCGTGTGAATTCGAACAAATCTAAACTTATTCTAAAATTTGATGCTATTTCCGACTTGTTTTGCTTTCATTCAATAAAATTAAAAAAAGGAAAGATTATGGCGTTTGACTTTGTAGCAGTTTTTATACCCTACACCACAAGGTGGTCAGGGTATTATGTCTTTGTGCATGTGTTTGTAACAGGCAGAAGGAAACGAGATAGACCCATAGTTCCTCTTGATGATCTGCATAGAATCAAATTCTGAGTCGATTTATGCATGTCCGTCCGTCCGTCAGTCTGTCCATGTATTTTTGTAAACAAAGTACAGGTCGAATTTATTGCCCGATCCAGATGAAATTTTGCACAGATCATTTGTTTGGCTCAAGGACGAACCCTATTGAAATTGGAGATAATCGGTAAAAAATTAGATATAGCTCCCGTATATATTTCGTCCGATTTTCCTTTTATTGTGCACCAAACGTGTAATATAAGCCCGAATTGTATGGAATTTTGCATATACACCCATATTAGGCCTGAAAATATGTGTGACAAATTTGATCGAAATCGGTTCAGATATAGCTATAGGTCCCATATATATTGTTCATCCGATTTGTTATTTTTGTCCACCGCCGCCGTAATATGCACTCTGCAACAACGATATTTGGGGAAATGAATCAAATACAGCTCAGAAATACATTTGCTAAATTTTATCGAGATCGGTTCAGATTTGGATATAGCTCCCATACATAACTTCGTCCGATTTACCTTTTATTGTGCACCAAACGTCTAATATTTGTCCAAATGGGATGAAATTTGGCGCTTACGACCGAATTGAGTCTAGAAGCTAGTATGTCAAATTTGGTGAAGATCGGTTCAGATATAGCTATAGCTTCCATATATATACTTCATCCGATTTGTTATATTTGTTACCCACAACCGTAATATGCACTCCGTAACAACGATATTCAGGGAAATATATCAAATACAGATCAGAAATGTCTTTGCCAAATTTTATCGAGATCGGTTCAGATTTGCATAAAGCTCCCATATATATCTTTATCCGATTTCAAATTTATTGTGCACCAAATGGGCAATACAATTCCGAATTTAAAATATGCAAATGCTTCGGCATATTTAGTCCTTTGAACTTTAAGTTATAATTATAATCATAGCGTGTATGACTGAATTCTCCCATAAAAACTTTTAATTGTTATGTGGAGCTCAACTAAATTAGCAAAGTGGTGTAGGGTATCATAAAGTCGGCCCCGCCCGACTTTAAGACTTTCTTTACTGGTTTTTAATCTCATTTTGTACTTAAAAAATAGTTTTTGAAATTTCCGATTCTGATAGCCCTTGAAAAAATATGTTAAAAAAAATAAAGTAAAAAAATATTAAAATCTTTCTCTTCTCTCCTTATAGCTCGTTAATAGCATACTTGAATCATTCCAATTGGAGGCATATCGCGATGTTCTTGTGAAAAATCTCAGTGGTGGTAATCGTCGTAAATTAACTGTGGCCACATCGTGTTGTGGTCGCACCTCGGTGGTGCTTATGGATGAGCCCACAAGTGATATGGATCCTGTAACGCGAGCCTTTGTCTATCGCACCATTGATGATTTATTGGCCGAAAAGAGGGCAATTGTTTTAACCTCACATTCCATATCTGAAATTGATCAAATTTGTCATCGCATTGCTGTCTTGAAAGATGGACAAATGTTGACGTGCAGCAGTCCGGAAAGTTTGAAGGCACAATATGGTGGTTATTACAATGTTACCGTCTATTGTGATCAGGATAAGAAAAAGGCATTGGAAAAGGTAAGGGGAAAATTTAATGTTTTGAACTTTTTTGAAACAAAATATTTTTAGGAAATACGCCGCAAATTACCTCTGGGTAAGGATATGCAGGTCTATGCTCATTCCATTAAGTTTAGTATAAAAATTGAGAATCCCAGCCGGGAGGGTGATAAGGAGGTAAGAAAGAATTTTATTATTTTTTTTTACAATACCAATAATTGTTTATTTAATTTATTTGCAGAATGGCATCGATTTACCCGATAATTTGAAAATTACTGATACTGACACAACTACCTCAAAACTGGCCACCATGAATGGTGGTCACACCCTGTCACAGCTGTTCTATGATTTGAGTAATTTATCCCAACAGATATCGGGATGTGTGCGATATGCCGTCAATAAATGTAAATTGGATGCGGTATTTGAGAGGATCCTTGATAAAAGTGAACCGAGTGACTTAAGGCGTGGCTCGGTTTACAATGGAATCGACAACAACACTGCTGCCGCCATGGGTGGTAGTCCATCAACGGGTTATGTCCACAACGGTTATGTTGAAACGGAAACATGAAAATGAATGAATGAAGGAATGCATGACTTTGTATCCAAGAAGTTGAAACAAACATCAGGCTGTGCCTTTTATTTTTTTAGTATAAAAAATATTTTAACTCTCGAATATCCTCTTAGGGTTTATAATGTTTTTTCCTTTTAAGAGAGCAATGCTCCAAGAAACTTTACTATTGCTTTATCTGTATATGTGTGTGAATGTATGCTGTATTTATTATTTTAAAATTACATGTTAAAATTATAAAACATTATGCTAAAGGTGTTTATCAGGGATTTTTCGAAAATCCAAATCTTCTCAAAGGGATTTAATTTTATTTTTTTTTTATCAAATAGCTCAATGTTTTATATTATTTTGTATAGATGAATAAAAGTCCTTTTGTCTATAAGTAGAATACGTTGTGGTCTTCAATGTTGAACTTTTAACGGATAGTCTTTTTTCTGCAATTTTTAAATCAAAATGTCTTGAATAAAATTGCTTCTTTAGGTCTTCTGTCTTGGACTTTCCTGTGATTCATTATTTTTTCGGAAACTTGAAATAAAAACCGTCTTCAGGTGACTTGAGATTCATGGTATAAAAAAATTGAGTATATTTAAATTTTATAGGTGTTCTGTTTAATTTCAAAATTTTTTTTTTAATTTTTGCTCTGTTCAAAAAAAAAAAAAGTTATATTTTCAGGTGAATTTGTGATTGAATTTATCTTGTCTCTACTCTAGAAATAAAAAAAATTCTCTTCCCAAGATTCTTTTTAATTGGTTAGGACGTTTCATGTTAAAATTGCTAGTGTACGGAGGACTAAAAGAGCTAAGCTTTCTAACATAAAAGTCCACTTTGTGATTAAATACATTTTTAGTGTGTGTTGTTTTTAAGAACAGTTTAAAGTTAAGTTATTAAATATAAATTTCCGGGACTTAAGCTTTTCTTCCCCCCTCATCCTGTAAATGTGTACTTATGTCATTTTGTAAATTTGACTTAATATTTTTTAAGATAATTCCATTAAATGTGTGAATATATATATATAGATAATATTATTTTTAAATACACGAAAAATAAATCGAAAGACATTGAGTATTATGATGCATGATACATTAATTTCGGCCGTGCCGAACTTCTAATACCCTCCACCGTTAGATAAAGATAGTATTTTTATTCAAAAGTATTCAGATTCAAACGTGCTCCATTTTAAACTACAAAATCCAGTACGATCGGATGGAAAATGTAGTAAGAGTTTAAAAAAAAAAAATAAAATATAGTGGTTTGAAACGGTAATATGGAGGCCATACCAAAATGTGAGCCTATACAGGGTAAGATAAAAAAAACTGCAACAAAGTCAAACGACCTAATTTTTACATTTTTTTTTTAATTTTATTGAATGAAAGCAAAAACGTCGGAAATAGCATCAAATTTTAGACTAAGTTTAGATTTGTTCGAATTGGCCACCTTTGGCACGAATTATGGACTCCAACAGCCAATTAAACCGTCACACCCTGCCGAATGTTGCTCTGCGGTATTTTGACCCATTCCCGTCGAAGCGTTTGCTTGAGGTAATCGACATTTTGGTATCTTTTAGTCCCAACCTTGCTTTCCAAAATACTCCAGACCCGATAGTCCAACGGATTTGTATCCGGGGATTTTGGTGGCCATTGTACGCTGAAAATGAAGCGAGGATCCTCATTTTGTAACCATTCTTGGGTGGCACGTGCTGAGTGCGATGGTGCTGAGTTCTGTTGGAATGTCCAAGGTCTGCGGCCAAAATGTTTGCGTGCCCAAGGCTTTAATACACCTTCCAGAATACTTTCGCGATAATATTCGGCATTTAATCTGATGCAACGGTAGATTAATTGTTTTGTTATGGAGGCCCACACCATCACCATGGCCGGCGCTTGAGTTCTGGTGGTCAACCGAAGGTGCACATTTTAAGCTGTCCTCTTTGGCAAGTAAACACGATCGTTTTGTTTGTTTACAAACTGCTGGACAACGAATGTTTTCTCATCGGAGAAAACCAAATTCGGCAGTTCACAACTTTCGACCAAGCGAAGCAACTCTTTAGCTCTTTGGGTCTATTTTCCTTTTGTTGAGGTCTAAGTTCTTGCACATTTTGGAATTTCAATGGCTTTAGCCCGAGCTCATTTGTCAATATTTTCCGAATGAAATATTGCGATTTGTTCAGCTCACGAGCCATTTTTCGGTCACTGCGACGCTGGTGTCGATCAAGTCGCTTCTTTACTTTTCGAAACATTTCTGTTGATGTTGCTGCTTTCTTCCGTCCATTTCCATGACGTTGGGCTACGCTACCAGTATCACGGTAACGAGCGATGGTACGAGGCACAAAAGATTTATTCACATTTAAATGCAGGAGTGCTCTAACGATCGCAACTTCTGGTTTTCCAGCCAAAAATAAAGAAATCACACCATCACGCTTGAATTCCATCACGAACAATTTTTTTTCTGAAAAATTCTCACCAAAGTGCTTTTGTACGCTTGTAAACAATATAATGAGCTGTCACTGGAATAATTTTAACAGCTGTCGGTTGATTGGCTTAGAAACGAAAGCAGTCTGAAGTTGGTTTCAGTTTTTCCATCTCACCCTGTATGTATGGGAACTAAAGCTATATCTGAACCACCCAACACCAAATATAATGTACTTACTTCTAGACTGAATTCGGTCGGATGTGCCAAAATTCAGGTCATTTGGACTGATATTGGTCATTTGGTGCACAATTAACCCGAAATCGGTTGAAGATATATGGGAGTTGTATCTAAATCTGATCCGATTATTACCAATTTCAATAGGGTTCTTCCTTGGGATAAACAAATATTGTTTGGCCCAAACAAACAATTTAATCTCAATCGGATATTAAATGCGACCTGCATTTTGTTCACAAGAGCACATGGACAGACGGATGGACGGACTGACATGCATAAATCGTCTCAGAAAGTGATTCTATGAAGATCTTCAAAAGTAACTATTCAAATTGGCATCACTACTCCATTTACAAACCAAATGTAGCATACTTTCAGGCGTTACGTATTATAAATTTGACTTCGTCTTGTATCTCTTTTCTTTCCATTCGGTTGAATAGATTTTCAAACCCTTTTTAACAAAAACTGTACTTGAAAATAATAATAAGATTTTCAAAACAAATAAATGCTAATAGTTTTTATTAATAAAAATCTCCTTAAAACTATGTACAAATAAATGTTTAATATGAATAAAAAACAAATTAAATATGCTCTTACAATTCTAATCCAATTGTTGCCGTTTAGTATAACGTGGTACTCCCCGATTCGGATTCGGTTGATAGGTTGGACTAAATCTTGCCTCGGCCTGATTGACCCCTTTGATTTTTAGAATATTTCCTTGTGGTTCAAAGTCTTGTATCTTCTGTACCCGATGCGATGGATCGTTCGGATCATTTGGCTTGTAACGATAGGCCACCCACATAAAGACAATCATATCGGCAAACATAAGGCCGGCGAATAAAAAGAATTCATTGGCTTGAGATTTGAAGATTTTCGCCTCAGCCACAATGACAACGATGACATTGCCAAAGGCCACCGTCAACAGCCAGCATGCTTGTAGTACCGATTTCATAGTGACGGGAGATTGTGAATAGGAAAATTCCAAACCGGTTACCGAAAACATTACCTCGCCCAGCGTCATTACCACATACTGTGGTATCAGCCACAGAATACTCATGGAGTTGGCCTTAATCACTTCGGCCAACTGGGTCACCGTTGTGTCGTGTTCATCAATGCCCATTACCAGGGAATAGACCCCACCATGCCTCAAAGTTACCTCATGCACCTTAACGTTATCGATGAGCACATCATAGGTTGTGGCACGCAATTCAATAATTTCTCGATTATTTGCCTTCTTCGTTGATTCGATATCTCCGGTTTTGTGCGATTTCCAAACAATGGTACTATCCGGATTGATGTTTGCCAAATTCCTAACCAATGGATTGGCTTTGTTGGACTTTTCCATTTCTTCCAAATAGACATGAGCCGATTGGGGTAGAATTTTATTTTGCAAAAATATACTGTAGGCTAGTTTCTCTTTGAAAGTGAAGGTGCCTCCGGGAAGTTTGGGACAGCCTAGGGGATGGGAATCGTAGTTAGAATCACTTTCGAATTATTACGTGTTTTTTGACGTTGTTGTTGTTATTCTCACCTGTTTGCTCTTGTACTGTGTATTTGAGGGGTAATGTTTTATTTTCAATGTAGATGAATTTCTCATAGCCCAAGCCCAGGCCGTTGATGGAAATCCTCTCATAGCCTGTCAAGTTGCTGCCCAGAGTATATGAGCAATCAGGTATGCCATTAAAAATACGTAACTGTATATATCCTTCCGAAGGTTGTACGGGATAGGTTTTCTGAAAAAAATAATGGAGAAGATAATCATCCAAAAGCAAAACTTTGATAATATCCAAATTGGTCGGATAATGGATTAGCAAAAACCAATACCCATATAACATATTTCACAGTGCTGCAGGATTATTCTCTTTTCAAAATTAAGGGAAAACCTCATTAGATTGAGAAATTTAAAATAAAGAAGTTAAAAAGTAGCAGTCGGTTTTGCCGATGTATACCCTCAGTCAATGTTCGATTATTTAAATATATTTTGAGGTCTGTCATGATTATTCAAATTGTTGACCCTCTATGGGGTTGGTTCCGAAGGAACAGGCCAATATTATTATCGCACATAAATGAAAATGATATAAATATTGCGACGTGCCAGGCTCGGACTATATCGACTGCTTTCTTCACTTTATATGAGATATGTGAAAATTTTTAGAAAATGTTAACATGTACTGGAGGTACCAGATATAGTCGACCGAAGTTATGACAGATAAAAGTATTGCAAATAGTAATCTTTTGTGGGTGAGGAACTAAAAGGGGTTCGCACATATACTGGGTCAGATCATGGCCAAGTCTGAATGGAATTCGATGTTAATTTCGCGTTTTATGAGCTTCATGGATATTGAAATTGATTAACCTTTTGCGGGGAAGGTATCAGAAGAAATGGACTGATATATTCCATCTTCACACCAGACCTTGGGTTAATAAAAAAATATTGTGATGTGTGTATCTTGAAGACAATCGAAATATTACATCACATTTTATGAGAGTTTAATTATTCAAAATTTTGACCCGTTGAAGGGGAGTTACTTGATGGAGTGGACAGTTATTGTCCATTTTCGCACCTAACCTGACAGACGGACGGACACAATTAAATTGACTCCAAATGTCCTGAAAAGTATTTGGTCCAAAGAGACCTGGAGTGTAAAACCGTTATTTCGATTCAGCTTGTTTTGGCTGTATCCAATGGTGTACAGGGTGAGATGAAAAAACTGCAACCAATTTCAAACTGCTGTCATTTCTAAGCCACTCGTCCGACAGCTGTTAAATTTTTTCCAGTGATAGCTCATTATATTGTTTATAAGCGTACAAAAGCATTTTGGTGAGAATTTTCCCGAAAAAAAGTTATTCACGATGAAATTCAAGCGTGATAGTGTGATTTCTTTATATGTGGCTGGATAACCGCAAGTGGCTATCGTTAGAGCACTCCAGCATTTAAATGTGAACCAGAAATGGTTCGAAAAGTAAAGAAACGACTTGATCGAAAGCCGAGTCGCAGTGGCCGAAAATGGCTCGTGAGCTGAACATATCTCAATATTCCATTCGGCAAATATTGAAAAATGAGCTCGGGATAAAGCCATTGAAATTCCAAAAAGTGCAAGAACTTACACCGCAACAGAAACGAAATAGACTCAAAAGACCTGAAGAGTTTCATCGCTTGGCCAAAGGTGGCGAACTGCCGAATTTGGTTTTCTCCGTCTCCGATGAGAAAACATTCGTTGTCCAGCAGTTTGTAAACAAACAAAATGATCGTGTTTACTTGCCAAAGAGGTCAGCTTAAAATGTGCACCTTCGGTTGGCCACCAGAACTCAAGCGCCGGCCATGGTGATGGTATGGGCCGCCATAACAGCCGATGGTCGCTCTCCGCTCTTATTAATCGACCGTGGCATCAGAATAAAAATGCCGAATATTATAGTGAAAATATTCTGGAGGGTGTATTAAAGCTTTGGCCACGCAAACATTTTGGCCGCAGACCTTGGACATTCCAACAGGACTCAGCACGTGCCACCCAAGATTGGTTACAAAATGAGGCTCCTCGCTTCATTTCTAGCGCACAATGGCCACCAAAATCTCCGGATACCAATCCGTTGGACTATTGTGTCTGGTGTATTTCGGAAAGCAAGTTTGACACTAAAAAAACCAAAGTGTCGATCACCTCAAGCAAGCGCTTCTCCGGGAATGGGACAAAATGCCGCAGAGTAACATTCGGGCAGCGTGTGACGGTTTCATTGGCCGTTTGAAGGCCATAATTCGTGCCAACGGTGACCAATTCGAGCAAATCTAAACTTATTCTAAAATTTGATGCTATTTCCGACATTTTTTTGCTTTCATTCAATAAAATTTAAAAAAATTTAAAATTTATGGCGTTTGACTTTGTTGCAGTTTTTTTTTTTTTATCTCACCCTGTATCCAATTTTATGCGAAATCATAAATTCCATAATCATCCCAGCTTTCTGGATGAGAAAAATATTTAGAAATAGCAAGTTGTAAAGAATCGCTGACTTGTTTCACAAGTTGTGACAGATAAAAGTATTGAAAATTAGGGTGAGGTACCAGAAGGGGTTCGCTCATATATATTATGTGTGTCATCATAAGTGTGAAATTCGAAGGGCATCCAATTATTTCGCCTTCATCGAGCGTTTTGATTTTCAAAATCTTGAACCCTATGTGGGGGAGATACAAGAAGAAATGGTACGATCTCTACCTTATTTATAACAGATCTCGTGTTGATGGAAATATTAACCTGTAAAAAGTCTTAATGGAATCGGATGTTAATTTCGCTTTTTAAGAGCATGTATATTCAAAAAGTTGACCCAAACGGAGTAGACCAATATATTCCATCTTCACAGCAGATCTTGTGTTTGTAAAAATATTGAGATGTGTAAAATTTAAAGATAATGATTATTTCAGATTTTATAATCATTTTGGATATTCAAAACTCTGACCCTTTGTGGGGGGAGGTACCAGAAGAAATGTTCCGATCTCTACCATCTTCATGACAAATCTTGTGTTGATGGAAATATTGAGATGTACCAATGAATGGAAAGCGTTTCATGAGCTTCATGGATGATTCAAAATGTTGACCTTTTGTGGGGGAGGTACCAGAAGTGGACCGATATATTCCATCTTTACACCAGACTTTGGGTTAATAATAAATTTTGTGATGTATGCAATTTGAAGATAATATCACATTTTATAAGATGCATAAATGCATAAATAATTCTTGTCATAGGCTGTAGTAACCGTTCCGAACTTTTTATACGAAATTTGAAACAATTCCGCTGAATAATGTCGCAAAAATCATGAAAATACCGAATATCTGGGTGTTTTCGTTATATGGGCGCTATACTAAAACGTAGACCAATGTAGACAATTCGCTTCTAGGGGGTAAAGCACTCAAAACGAACTCCTTGTGTGGATTTTAAAACAATTCCATTGAAAATTTGGCTGAAATCATCAAAATACCGAATATCAGGGCACTCTTATATGGTGGCTATACGATATAGTGCATCTATATAGACAATTCTCTTCTAGGGGTAAAAGTATTTAGAAGGAACTCCTTGTATGGATTTTCAGACAATGTCGTTGAAAAATGTGGCTAAAATCATCAAAATACCGAATGTCGTCAGGAACCGCCATAAAGGGAAATATATATTATAGGTCCACGATAATCTCTCTTCCAGGGGGTAATGCAATTGAAAGAAACTTCTTTTGTGAATTTTAAGACGTTTCCACTGACAAATTTGGCTGAAATCATCAATGTACGGAATATTAGGAGGTGCCGTTATATGGGGGATATACGATATAGTGGACCAATATAGACAATTCTCTTCTAGAGATAAAAGTACTTACAAGGAACTCCTTGCATGGATTTTCAGACAATGCTGTTGAAAAATGTGGCTAAGATCATCAAAATACCAAATATCGGGAGGAACCGTTATAAAGGGAAATATATATTATCGTGGATCTATATAGAAAATTCTCTTCCTTTTGTCGATTTTAAGACGATTTCATTGAAAAATTTGGCTGAAATTATCAAAATATTGGGAGTTGCCGTTATATGGGGGATACACGATATCGTGGACCTATATAGACAATTCACTTCTAGGCGATAAAATACTCAGAAGCGACTCCTTGAACTCCATTCAATTTTTCAGACAATTCCGCGCAAAAATGTGGCTAAAATTACTATTAAACGAATATCGGGAGGTACCGCTCGACCCAGATGAACTCTGGGCTTTCTACTTGTAACTTATTAATGCTAAAAATCGCCAATTCCAATTTACGGACTTAATAATTTCACAAAATGTATCTTAACAACAACTCTCCCAGAGCAATTGGGATTTGTTTTTCTAAATAAATATTTTTGTTCTATTTATTTTTTTAAAGAGTACAAAAAATTGCATTAATTTATTCTAATTGTTTTTAACATTAAAAAAAGAGTGTCTTAGGTGTAGTGCTCTCTCATTCTTCATTCTTAGTTCTCGAAAGCTTTGTTGTCTGCACCCTCCAATGGCAATGCGGATTTCTCTTCGCCTGCCGTCAAGGGTTCAGTTTCCGCCACGGCATTTGGATTATTGGGTTTGTAGCGATAGGCCATGTACATGAACAGCAACATATCGGCAAACATAAGGCCGGCAAATAGGAAGAACTCACTGGCCTGAGAATCGAAGAGGGCCAGTTCGGCAATAATGACGACCACAACATTGCCAAATGCCACCGTCAGAAGCCAACAGGCTTGCAGTACAGATTTCATGGCCACCGGAGCCTGTGAGTAGGAGAATTCCAAACCCGTTACCGAGAACATAACTTCGCCCAGGGTCATGACCACATATTGTGGAATCAGCCATAGAATGCTCATGGAATTGGGGTCGGTAATGACAACCTCCTGGGCATAGTAACCACCATTGTCCAGTTCATGAATCAGTACGGTATAAACACCACCTGTATTCAAAGTGGTTTGCAACACCTCATCGCCATCGACAAGGATTTTGTAGTCTCCCGCCGAGAATTCGGTTAGATTATTTAAATAGGCTGGTTCTTCGTGTTCCAGAGAATTCTTCTTGGTTTTACGCCACTCAATTTTACGTCCCGTTTCCACATTGGTCAGTGTTCTGCCCAATGGACTGCCTCGCGATGGTTTATTAACATAGTCCTCGTACCAAATTAGGGGGTAGCTGGTATTTTTCGTATTCATGAATAGAGTGTGAGCTTCCTTCACTGGCAGTCTATAGCTACCCGCTTCGAAGCCATAACAGTTGTCACCTTCAACCGCTGTGAAAGAATACATCAGATCGAAAAAGTTGCCCGAGACTGGTACATCTTTGTTGACATAGTAACCATGGCGATCAATGTTTATCGTTGGATGTCCGGGAATGTTGGTATTGATCGTGTATGCGCAATTTTCACCATTAAATATACGCAATTGGGATATGTGATCGGTGGGAAGGGTGGGATAGGTTTTCTAGAGAAAGAGAGAGAGAGAGAGAGAGAAAGTGTTTTGGGAAGAGAGGAAGAAAAGATTTGGTTAAAGAAATAGTTGGGGGAGAGTGGATGTGGTTTTCAAAAAAATAAAATGGGCTTTGAGTAATGAATGAGATTTTTCGTAAAAGTTATGATCAATGCTGGGATGAGATAAAACTGGGGGATGTCTGTAGTGGATGGACAGATTAAGTGGATGAGTTGGGGTTTGAAGGTTTAAATATACTATATGAAGAAAATGTATATAAATATTTGGTACAAGTAAATTATCAAAACATCGTTTGAATACTACAATACAAAATAATTACAGGAAAAACTCCGTAGATTACACTGTGCGACAAAATTCATTTATTTTTTTGTTCAATAATTACATGGAAAATCCGGCAGATTATAAAACTAGAGCTAAAAATTGTAGACTCGTATATTGGCGTTTTGTAATTTTAAATGACCGTGCCACTTAAAAACTTGTGCAAGTTCACACCTAACAAATTAAAAAGAAGTGAGTTCGGCCCGGCCGAACTTTGCATATCCTCCACCATTTGGAAAGAGTTTTGAAATAAAATTCTTTAAATATTCTGTTAAAATTTTAAGAATTGGTGTCTATACGACGTGAACGTACATAGGTATTGTTTGTCATAATTCATTACCAAATTCAAATTCGAAACTTGAATTAAACGGTGAATAATGTAGCTAAAATCATCAAAATATCGTATATAGGGAGGTACCGTTATAACGGCGTTATGCGAAGACCTGGGCCAGCAGAGACAATTTTCTGTCATAGGCTGTAGCATCCATTGCGAACTTCAAATACGACATCTCAAACAATTTCGGGGGGTATTATACCAAAACTCGTCAAAATACCAAATATAGGTCGGTACTGGCATATGGGGCCTAGACGAAGACTTGGACCTGCATAGACAATTTTCTGTCACAGACTGCAGTTCCCATTACGAACTCTAAACACGTAATTTGAAACAATTCCGGTGAATAATGACGCTAAAATCATCAAAATGCCGAATATAGGAAGGAACGGTTATAGGAGGGCTATACGAAGACGTGGACCTGCACAGACAGTTTTCTGTCTTAGGCTGTAGTATCCATTACGAACTTCAAATACCAAATTTGAAACTTTTCCGGTGAATAATGTCGCATAAATCATCAAAATACCGAATATAGGAAGATACGGTTATATAGAGGCTATACGAAGACGTGGACCTGTACAGACAATTTTCTGCCTTAGGCTCTTGTATCCATTTCGAACTTCAAATGCCAAATTTGAAATAATTCCGGTGAATAATGTCGCCAAAATCATCAAAATACAGAATATAGGGAGGAACCTTTACATGGGGGCTATACGAAGACGTGGACCTACATGGCTCATTTTCCGTCTTAGGCTGTAGTATCTATTTCGAACTTCAAATACCAAATTTGAAACAATTCCGGTGAATAATGTCGCTAAAATCATTAAAATACCGAATATCGGGAGGTACCGTTATATGGGGGCTATATGAAAACGTGGACCTACATGGCCCATTTACGAAGTTAACCTGCCTACTGGAAAAATAAACATGTGTGTAAAATTTAGCCTTCGTTCGAAAGATAGCGTGATTACAACAGACAGACGGACAGACAGACGGACATATTCCATTGTGCTCGGGGTAAAGCCATTGAAATTCGATAAATTGGACGAACTTACACCGCAACAGAAAGAAAGTAGACTCAAAAGAGCTAAAGAGTTGCATCGCTTGGTCGAAAGTGGGGAACTGCCGAATTTTGTTTTCTCCGTCAGTTTGTAAACAAACAAAATGATCGCGTATGCTTACCACCAGAACTCAAGCGCCGGCCATGGTAATGGTGTGGCCGACATAACAGCCGATGGTCGCTCTCCGCTCTTATTAATCGACCGTGGCATCAGAATAAATGCCGAATATTATCGCGAAAATATTCTGGGGGGTGTATTAAAGCCTTGGGCACGCAAACATTTTGGCCGAAGACCTTGGACATTCAACAGGACTTGGCACAATCGCACACGCCACCCAAGAATGGTTACAAAATGAGCTTCCTCGCTACCAAAATCTCCGGATACCAATCCGTTGGACTATTGAGTCTGGAGTATTTTGGAAAGCAAGGTTGGCACTAAAAAATACCAAAGTGTTGATGACCTCAAGCAACCGCTTCGCCGGGTATGGGCCAAAATACCGCACAGCAACATTCGGGCAGCGTTTGACGGTTATATTTGCCTTTGGAGGCCATAATTCGTGCCAAAGGTGACCAATTCGAACAAATCTAAATTTATTCTAAAATTTGATGCTATTTCCGACATTTTTTGCTTTCATTCAATAAAATTTAAAAAAAAAATTATGGCGTTTGGCTTTGTTGCAGTTTTTTTTTATCTCATCCGTATAAGGTAAAAATTCACTCACTTCACAAAAAAAATGCCCCTGTCAACCTTTAACAATTTTGGAACACTAATTGACAAATGCATTGCTTCCCAGAATGACCGACAATAATAACCCATTTTTTACAACCACAAAAAAATCTCAAAGAGAGAGAAAGAGGGGAGGGAGAGGGAGCTTGTTTACAACAAATATTACCATACAAGCAGAAGAGAAAAATCCCCACAACCAAAAAAAAAAAAAAAATCGTAAGTCAAATTGCTCAGAACTCGAACCCATGTCGGTCCGGCGAGTCGGACAAAACTTCAGACTTTGAGTAGATGTGTTGGATGTCCGACATTTGGTCCGCTGGGTACACTCGACTTGTACCAAATAATCTAGCTTAAATCTCCCAACATCTACTAGAGATACAATTTTTGGTATCTTCTACTTATTTGCGTATCCCTTTAGTTTGAGGTCTCCACTACCCATTTTGAGCACGATTTTTACAGTTTCACATTTATACATTTTTCTAAATTGTATGTACGATTTTATTTATTTATTTTTTTGTTTAAATTTCCTATAGCTCTTAGAAATTCAACGTCACGACCTTATAAGACCTCTAGGAATGAACGCTGATTCTCGATTAAATTTTTAAAATTTTTACTTCAGCCGTTTATTTTGAGCTATGATCGATGATTTTATGATATTAGATGGATGGTTACTTCTCAAAGACGATTGAGAACTATTTTTATGATTCCCATTAAACCAGTTAGGGAATTACGCAAATTGTTTGCCTTCACCTTAAAACATAACACCATAGAAAAAATATTCCATTGCAAAAACTTACCTCCAAATTAAGTTCAACAACACCGGAAATGATGAAAGCAACACCAGCCAAAATACCACCCAAAGTCAATTTTTGCAATGGACGACGAATGCCAATCAGGCTCAAGGCAGGATAGAAGGCAACATCGTACAGTGGGATAAATACCAAAATCAACAAAGGATTCAACACTTGCAATTGATCGGGTTTAATGTCCCATGAGCCCATATCACCATCCATACGCGTGGCTTGGAATGTCCAACGGGATCCCTGTTGATCGAACAAGGCCCAGAAAATCGGCAGGGGCAAATACAAAACCAAGACACGCATCAACACCTTAACATCTTCAATCAATTGGCGATCGTATTTCTTGTCGGCATAGTCCAACCAATGTTCACGGGGATTGGTTTTCTTCTCCTTCCATTTGGTGGAAATGGCATTCTGAAAGAGATATTTATATAATTTTTCTATTTTCAAATATCTGTATTGTCCTCTAGGACACTTACACCAATGGTCTTGCTGACCAAGACAACCATATTGCCTGCTGGGGGTTTGCTCTTGTACAAGGGGCGACCCAAGATGAAGATAACTGGAAGTAAAAACAAGAATTTTTTAATTATATCCTTAAATCAGAGGACAAATTCTTATTTTCGATTCGGAAAAAAAATGGTTCGAAATAAATTTGAAAATAAATTTATTTTTTGGAAAAACCAATGTTCCATCTCAGACATTCGATATTTAGTCGTTTCTAACGAAATTTTCAATTAAATCAGCATTTACAAATTTAAATTAACTAAGTTTATATATTTAAATTAACTTCTATCGAAAATGTTTTAATATCGAATGCAAGAGAATTGGACAGAGAGAGAGAGAGAGAGCAACAGCACATTTTAGCTCTCACACTTATCTTACTGCGTGAGATTTTATGTTCAAAGATAAGTTTGCTCAGTTCTCGCAAAAGGGCTTTTGCTCAATGCAGTCATTCTCTCCTCTCTCCCGTCTTCTCCTTTTCCCAAAAGAAAATCCCTCATTTCTTACCAATCGAAACTGCCATCAAAACAGCTGGAACACCAAAGGCCAACGAATAACATTCCTTTTCACCAAAACAATGGACATCTTCTCTCAAAATCGGTGTAACCGTTGTCGAAATCAATGAACCAGCATTGATTGAGAAATAGAACAACGAGAAGAATGTGGTCATCTGTTTCAATTGTTCGGGCATCTTAAATTGATCACCACCAAACGCCGAGACACACGGTTTTATACCACCCGAACCCAGTGCTATCAATGCCAGACCTATCATGGTAAATGTTGTTGCCGGCAAATTCAATGGTGGCATGGCGCCCAATGTAACCAAAACAGAACCGCATACATAGACCAAGGAGAGATATAGAATCGTTTTGAATTTGCCCAACCAACTGTCCGATATGATGGCGCCCAATATACACAAGAAATAGACAAACATGGTGAAGATGTGGAAAATAACCGTGGCCGTGTCATCGCTATAGTTCAACTGGCGACTCAAATATAAAACCAAAATTGCTGGAATTAGAAATAAATAGAAATTATTAAAAATTAGTTTGAGAGATAACAAGGATCACAAGTACTTACTTCTCATGCCATAGTAGTTGAAACGTTCACAGAATTCGTTACTGATAATGAAGAATACCGATTTGGGATAGGGCAATTTCTGTAAAAGAGGATTTAGTGAGAGGTATTTTGTAAATATGTATTGTTCTAATAAATTAAGAACTCAGATTTGCTGAGTTTTACTCGCGAGTGTAAGAGAGCAAATCTCAGCTTCAAACAAATCATGCTCGCGAGTGGGAGTAAGAGTTTTTACATGAAGTTTACGCTTCATTCCTTTGGGAGCACTCACGATATATTCCTTTTTGAAAAATAAAAGTAGGAGTCAAAATGTTCGAAAGAGGTTAAGAGTTTACTTTAAGAGTGAAATTGAGTAAACTGGGGGAGATCGTGTACAAAAGCCAAGAAGAAGAAAAAATAGTAGAATGTATTGCAAGGTACCGGTGGATTTTTATATAAAACTACACTCTACTCTCTCTCGAAAACTAGGAAAGTCCACTCACCCTTATTCGAGTACCACAGGAGTACTTATGATCGTATTTTCCACAGTTCTGAATAACTTACCTTGACCTGGCCTTCAGCTTCGGCAACATTTGTAGCTTCGATTGCGCCATTGTTTTCGGGTTCCTCAACCTTTTTAGGTTCCACCAATGATGCGGGAGTCAGTTCGATGGCATCGGTTTTTGCAGGTTCTACTGGAGTTTCGCTTGTAGTACTCTCCGGAACATTGCCATTTTCAGGCTTGGTTCCTGAAAGCATTAAAAAGAAATATATGAATTTTTGTCGGCTGTATATTTAACAAAATTCTACAATTATTTATGGGTTGAAGTGGATCACTAATTATTAATTATATGGTTTTATATCCTCTACCACTCTATGGAGGGTATATTAGCTTTGTCATTCTCCTCGAAATATTCATGATAGACCCTAAAAAGTACATATATTCTGGATTAGCGTAAAATTCTAAGACGATTTTGCGATGTCCGACTGTCTGTTTAACCGTCTGTCTGTCTGTTGTAATCCCGCCATCTTTCGGACGAATTGAGATATAAGGCTAAAATTTTGCACACACGTGTATTTTCCCAGTAGGCAGGTTAAGTTCGTAAATGTCGGTTCACTTTTTCCTATAGTCCCCATACAACGGGAGGATTCGATATTTTGATTATTTTCGCGACATCATTCACCCGAATTGTTTAAAATTTCGTATTCAAAGTTTGTAATAGTGACTGCATCCTAAGCTTAAAAATTTCGTATAGCCCACATATAACGGTACCTCTCTTTATTTGGTATTGTGATGATTTTAGCGGCACTATTTACCGGAATTGTTTGAGATTTCGTATTTAAAAATGTTAATGGGTACTACAGCCTATGGCAAACAATTAATTATGCATTAGGAAATGTTTTAACAATTTTTGCAATATTGATGCAAATATTTTCTCCATTAACGATAGATATAGGAATTTCTTTTCTTTGGGTACTTATAGTACAATTTGATGACGTCATATCCTTTTAAAATGATGCTTTGTACGAGAAACTTTCATAAACCTCTATGAAGTACGGTTTTAACCCTAAGATATATTTTTAATAATTTTGAAATCTAGCGTTTAGGAAAGTTTAAGGTATGTGATGTATCCTCCGAACGGATCCCGTTCGAATGGAGTTTTAACCCATATTAAAAAAAAAAAAAACGAACCAAAAATATTTTTTGGTGATTCACTCGAGGGTTGAAATTTTCGATCAGTAATATTGCCAACGACGAAAATTTTAAAATTTCAAAGAGTGGGGATATCTTGCCCCCTATTTAGGTACCTTTCCGAAGCTAACTTTCAAGATGCTGATACACTTGTCTTCTATTTTTGCTCTACTTTTTTGATCTACTATATTTTTCAAGTAATTTTTGAAAATTTTAAATTTTGCCCAACAGTGTAATTGTATTTCAAAAATATGAATAATGTGCCTATAGTCATGTAAATACCGAATATAGGGATGACATGTTATATGGGGGCTACAGGAAGACGGGGATCTGTATTTTTGTGTCACAGAAGGGCGTACCCATGACAAACCTCAAATACAAAATTTTAAATAATTTCGAAGAAAAATTTGCTCATTACCATTGAAGTAGCGAATATCGGAAGTTACGGTTATATGGAGCCTAGTCCAAAACTTAGACCTATATAGACAGTTCTTTGCAAGAATGTTTCCTGCATTCTTGGAACACATACAGCCTACTAGATCGTGCGCTTTAACGCCTTAGGGCTATTTTTGTGGGGTTATGTTAAAACTCATATCCAGCTTTAATTGGAAGACAATATTGAATCATTTATTCGTGAGATACCGGCCGGAATGTTGGCAAAAGTATGCCAAAATTAGGCTAAGCGGATAGGTCATTTGAGGTGCAGTCGTGGTCAACATTTGCATAAGATAATCTTCACATTAACATTAATTTATATGGGGCACACTATCAATCTAAATAAGTATTTCGCGAATTTTTCATACTTTTTTGTGCTTTATGAGAGCTATACCTAAATGTTAATCTATATGATGCAATTTTATTACCAACAATTTGACTTAAAATACGTCCGAGTAAAATCTTATCAACCTACTTCATTTCATTCGGAAACAGGAGGGATTTTCACTGACGAAAAGACATCGGACGGACGGACAGACATGGCTAAATCAACATAGAATTTTAGGCTGATCAAAAATATAAGAACTTTGTGAGGTCTAAAATGGATATTTGGAGGAGTAACAAACGGAATGATATACTTAATATACTCTTGTTAGGCATAGGCCTGAGTGTATAAAAAATGAACGCCTTCTGGTAAAAATAGTAGAAATGTTCTCCACTAATAAACAAACGTTGTTTTTATAAAAACAACAATAAAGGGGATTAAGCCTGACCATTTTGCAACAACAAAATACTATGGAATCCCAAACAAACAAGCCAACGCTTTTCTATTAATAGACAAGGATGAAGGGGTTTTTTTTGTAACAGACAAAACCAACTTACATGGTTATGCTACTTCGTTCAGGTTGAACGAAAGCATAACAAGTGGAGAAAGATGTAAATGTTTATAAGTGCGGTTGTAAGATTTATAAGATTTTCCCAAATAATTTTAGTTTTATTTAATTCTTTGGTTCCTCTTCTATTGAGGTTACGATCTCGTCACTTGGGTAAAAAAGGTTTTTTTGTGGAGAATATCCCAGACAAAAAAACAAGGGAACTGATGAGGACTGGTGGCTCTTTCCAAAACTTAGGTATTCCCTGCCTTACCCCCTGGTAAACATTACCATCGTTCTCCACTAATAAACAAACGTTATTTTTATAAAAAAAAACAACAATAAAGGGATTAAGCCTGAACATTTTGCAACAACAAAATACTATGGTATCCCCAACAAACAAGCAAACACTGTTCTAGAAATGTTGCAAAATTTGGATGTCAGTTCCTACAGATAATATACGCGAATGGGTTATCCAGCAGTAAAACTTATCACATAATGGTAAATGGCTGTAGCTCCTGTTCATAATTTCTAAGTTGTCGCTATTAACTATTTCACTATTAAAATATCCGATATTACTCCTTTATTAAATACATTGGAAATCCCAAATATTGAGCTTATAATAAAGTAGTAATGTCGGATATCTCAATAGTGAAATATTTAATAGCGACAACTTAGAAATCCTTATGGAAGTTAGTTTTTTAAATAATTTCCCAATCTCAAATCATTTATTTATGTACGCAATATATTAGTCAATAACTTCATTTATCAAGAATTTCTAAATCGGAAAACACTTGAGTAATATACGATCACGATCTACAGTTAAGATATTGACCCATCATAAATAGTACAAATTCTTTGGAAAAAAAAAAATCAGAATTGCAATAAATTATTCGCAACGGAATCATTTATTTCAAGGTCAAATATAACTGTGTGCATTTATACGATTTTCTCACAAACAGATAATAAAAGTGAAAATTATTACAATAGACCTTCACTTGTTAAAAATATATAGAAACGAACTTTGAACTATTTAAATATTAAATATATAATGTGAAAGAAAAAACACAAATTATTAATCACAACGTATAAGCATTATTAAATTGACAATACAATATTTAATAATTGTTTTACGAAAATCATAGTAAATGATCTTTATTGGTACGATACGATAAGATATGAAATGAGTGTGTGTTTCAGATATTTTTTTTATATTTTTCAAGAAATTGCACACTGACCCACTAATTATACTTCACAATGCTCATTTTGAGAATTCAAAACATATATCTCAACAATTATACATCAGAGGGCTGCAACGAGTATGCAAAAATTCAAGCATACTCGGTTTCTTACATGATTTTTGTTGATGCAGTCGTTTAGTTTGATCTGAATGAAATGACCGTTTTCGCTTCTGAACGAATCGAACGCTCAGTTTGAATCACTTCACTCACAATCAAACATGAGCGTTCGAGACGGTTTGATGTGTTCAGCAACATGAGTTGATCGAACACATGAATGTAAATGAGCAATCACAACCGTGATTGTCTTCTATGAATCGAGTTCGCTCAGCGTCATTGTTTATTCAACCATTTAATCAAGTTGGGACAGTTTATTTTGACTTTTTAAATATTTGAAATGGAAGAATATTGTGATAGTGCGACCGAAATTGTTGCAAGTAGAAACTACACAGGTATAGGTAAACGAAAAGGTCGAAGTTTGTGAAAAATCTTGACCAATATTGTAAAATAAAAAAAAATATTTAAACATTTTTAATTTATTTATTTTTTTTTTTTTTTCAAATAAGTTACTGAAGTCTAGCATACCAAAAACCCAAATAAAATGAAAAATTGTATGCTTATTAAATATAATTTGTACCAGTTTCTTTAATGGGGACATCTTTTAGTTATGAAATCCTCAGTAAAATTACAATCACGATTTCGCTCAGATTCGAACATTTGTGTTTTAATCAAATCAAATCACTCACTTAACTAGGATAAATAAAACCGATCAGACTCATCATAGATGATCGACCCGTTTTGAACAATTCAACATAAGTTCGTAAACAAATAACTCATGTGAGCTGTTTGATTGCGATCACAAAACTTCGATCAATACATGTTTGATCACAACTTTTTCGTTTGGCTTGAGTAACTCGAATGAACATGTTGCATATGACCGACTGATTGAGTTTGATTGTATTTCCACTGTGTGTGATCAAGCCTACTCAATCATACTCATTGCAGCCCTCTGTTATACATATTGGCCATTTACTCAAAGAGTGTCAGACCTCAAAAAGCCAAGTTTCGAGGAAAACGATTTATCGATTGCATTTGGATTTCTCGAATTAAAAACGTTTGCCGAACTCTACATTTTTTGAGTTTTGCCAATCGTTAAGTAAATCAGCGACATGTTTACATGGTTACTGTTATTCGGTTTCCTTACCATATTTTCTAATGGAACAGGTTCTAACTTTGTATACGCTCTCTTAGTTGGTAGAAATTCGAGCTAATGTACTTAATACTTATAAAATGTAACCAAGTGGCTGGATATTTCTCTTAACGTCAAAGCTAAAGATTTTAAGTTCAAAGCATGTCAATGGTATGCTTGGCCCATAGAATCTTGTTACTAAAGTTATACTCAATGACAAAGAAGATTAAGATAATATTATAAGTCATAATTTCTGTTATGAACTAAATTTGTGCATATCTCCCAATATAAAGGGTGAGATAAAACCAGTAAAGAAAGTCCT